TGTGGCATAACTGTTGGCTGGTTTTGGTATTTGAGAAACTGCTGGTTGTGAATTAATGGTGTGAAGGATATTTTCTTGGCGGTTTTTGTGCCTCTTATTTCCAACTGAGCGTTGTTAAAACACCACAGACAGCCTGAGTATTATTGCTGACCGTGTCCATCACTTTATGACCACAGTACTGAATCTCACAATAGCTACATCAAGCCGGATAGCAGGCCATGTCATGCTCAAACTGGTTTATTAAACATGACAATGAGTAAACTATATTGAAATAGCCTCTACAGTCTGATCTAGATCTGAGCACCATTTGGATGAATCATAGATTATTTTTAAAAAATCGACAGCAACTGTGGGATGCTGCCATATCAGTATGTCAATTCAATCTTTGAGAAATGTTTCCAGCACCTTGTTAAATCTATGTCATGAAGACCTAAAGGGTAATGTTATTATGTTATTAATTACCCACCATGATGTTGTTCGAAACCTCTGAGACCTCCACTTGTCTTTGGAATACAAATTAAGATATTTAAGATGAAATGTGAGAGCTCCCTGACCCGTCATAGACAGTAACGGTCCCGACTCATTTTAAGTGCAGAACAATACACTCAAAACAGACCATATACCTTTAACCAGAATAATATTAAGCTACGAGAATAATTTTGTGCTCACATTAAACAAAAATGACTACTTTACAGTTTTTTTCTACTCAATATAGGGTGTCTGTTCATGAGAGTGCTGTGATCTTTACGAAATTCATGCTTGATTACACTACTGAACAATGCTCATGAATGAGCACACATTGAGTAGAACAAACTGTTGAAGAAAGTAATTATTTTTGTTTTATGTGCGCACAAAATTATTAACTTAGATTTATAATATACAAATTGAACCACTGCAGAAACATGTCTGTTTTGAACAGACCATATCATGTTTTTTGATACTTTCTGAACTTTCTGGTTGGAACCATTGTTGTCTGTAAACCCTATTAGTTGAGACTACTCAAATAATTTGAGGAAAGGGATTCCTTCAGTTTGTTTGAGTAAAGGAAAATTGACAACGGAGTTGTTAATGGAGTTGACCAAATGTGGTCTCTTCATTGAATAAACAATAACTTAAATGTTTAGGTACAGAAAACTTAAAATGGCTAATAGATTAAACTTCCAATTTTTTTTTTTAGCTTTTATATTTGTTACTTACTTACTTCCAAGGCTGTTTATATTGAAGTAGATGTTTAGCCGCACCATGTTGGTGTTTCATAACATCAAATTTTTACGAAGTGGGTTGTTAGCCCAACGTTCAACCCCCAACCTGGAGGACCTTGTGTTATATAACAAATATTAACCAATCAACATGGCTGTCAAGGCAGAATTTCAAGCGCAACCAATCATTTTAAACAGAGACATGGTTAGTAATTTAAAGAAATGAAAATGTTAATTATGGAGAACCTAAAATATTATTTAAAAGTTTTTTTGCTACCTAATGGGTAAGTTAAACACAACTGTTTAAGGTTTGATGCAGGTTTGAAATATTAATAATAATTTATTAACAGTGTGGAGGATGAGGGAGCTCTCATATTTTATCCAAAATACCTTAATCTGTGTTCTGATGATGAAATAAGGTCTCAGGGGGTTGAAACAACAGGGTTAGTAAAAAATTAAGAATTTTCATTTTAGAGTGAACTAACCCTTTAAACTGAAGACCTATAAACTACAGTCAAACCAAAAAAAAAATATTAAGATTGTGTCAAAATTTCTCAAATTATCACAATTTATTTCTGTAGATTAAACAAATGGTTATTTACTGTTACACTATAAAATAAAAAAATAACATGATAATGTCAGATAAATTTGTTAGCACGGTACAGTAGCCTGTTTATTTAGTTGTTATTAGTATGACAATATTTGCACAACTAGCAATACTTTGTTGGTGTGAACCTCAAAGACGTCATGCCATCTCTTTTGAATGCTGCTTTCAACCAGGTTAATGCAAACCTGATCATATGTTTTACTCACTACAGCAACTTCATCACTTTCTTTTGGTTTTTATTCCACCGAGAAGTGAAAAATCAAGGATCAATGTGTATAATAACTCATAAGCAATAGGCTGAACAATAGTGTCCTGCACCCTCTAGTAAAAACATCCACAATTATATCTGGTGTCTAACTAATTTTTGTTCTGACTACTGTTTTGGTGAAGGAAAACAACCTTAATTGGATTTCTGGAAGGAAAGAAGGAATAATTCACAAAAGGATTCAATGAAATTTAAGTAGTGTCCTACACCCGCTAATAAAAAAATTAAAAAAAAAATCCAAAAATATATCTGGTTTCTAAAGTCATTTTTGTTCTGTCTGCATGTACTACTTTCACTGGACAGATGCGATGGTTTTGTTTACATTGTCATTTTTTGGTGCAGGAAACTAACTTTAATTGGACATCTGGAAGGAAAGAAATAATAATTTACAAAATGATAGAATAAAATAAGAGGGAGGCAGATGTGAAAGGTGAAACACAGAAGATGGCCATGAATGCAAAAAACAGACATTCAGAGACAATGTGTTTACTGGAAACATAAGAGCAGTAGTTGCTGGAAGACCCAGCAGTGTCTGCTAGTTCACTCAGACACACAACCGCATACAACTGCACGTCTCACACAGCTGCATCTGCTTCTGAAAACCAATAGTCCATCTCTGTTCTCAACCACCTCAGGCCAATGTTCTTAATGGGCTGTTTATGCAGAGTGAGAGCAGGAGAGAGAAAAAAATGCTAAAGATACGGCATTGTGCACCAGGAGAAAGCATGTACTGTATGTTCCTATACTGTAACTATTTGTCAGTCAGAATAGCAGAGAGCCAAAGTGTGTGCTAGTGCAGTGGTTCCCAACCTTTTTCTTTGGAGCCCCCCCACCATATAAATACACACGCACGCACACACATATGTACTGTATATATATATATATATATATATATATATATATATATGTGTGTGTGTGTGTGTGTGTGTGTGTGTGTGTGTGTGTGTGCATGTCTTTTTGTGTAATATTAATATATAGTAATATGTATAGAAAATATTAATTAATCAGTTTTAACTTGTCTTGGCCTTCAATAAAACTAAAATCTAGGTAGGCTTTGTCATACTGTCTAATCTTTTTCTTCGCCTCTGAAGAATCACTGCATTTACGTTTGTCTGCCATTTTTGCTTTGATTTTGCCTTTACGACACGTTGACAAGCAGATTGCGCGAGTGAGCAAAATTTAAATAATTATTTAAAGTTATTTATTTTAATTATTTTCACTATTATGCTGGAATTTTAAGTATGTGTTTAGATTTTTTTTTGGTACTTAAAAATACATATATAATAGTAGGGCTACTCGATTTTGGGAAAAATCATAATCACGATTATTTTGGTCATAATTGTAATCACGATTATTCAAAACCATTGCCAGTTAAAGTCAAAATTATTAGCGCTCCTGAGATTTTTTTTTTTTTTTTTATAAATATTTCCTAAATTATGCTTAACAGAGCAAGGAAATTTAACAGTATTTCCTATAATATTTTTTCTTTTATTTGTTTTATTTTAGCTTGAATAAAGAAAGGTTTAAATATTTTGAAACCAATTTAAGGTCAATATTATTAGCCCCCTTAAGCAATATATATTTTTGATTGTCTGCAGAATAAACTGCCGTTATAATGACTTGCCTTATTACTCTAATTAAGCCTTTGAACTGCACTTTAATCTAAATGCTTGTATTTTGAAAAATATCTAGTAAAATATTATATGCTGTCATTATAGCAAAGATAAAAAGAAATCTCAGTAATTAGAAATGAGATATCAAAACTATTATGTTCAGAAATAAGTTAATAAAATATTCATTCCATGAAACAGAAATTGGGCAGGAAAAGGTTTGCTAATATTCAAGAGGGCTAATAATTCTGACTTCAACTGTATACATACAGTTATTTTCCACCCTGCAAAGGAAAGAGAAATAAATACAATAGAATAAAATAAAAATATGAAACAAACTGTGCTTTAAGCATCTTCACTGTAACAAAAACACTTTAGCTACAGCAGTCCTTCAGTCAAGAGCAGCGAGGGTTTTCTCGTTATGTTTGTTTAATAATGATAAAAACAGGCGGCAGAAGGATTATAGCGCACTGTCTCTTTAATGGTTTCTCTTTCACGTCTTTTGATCCTCAACTCGTTTGTTTATTACACAAATGAGGGTTAATGTAAATAATCACTAAACACCGCGTTTTGACACCTATTTGACCATTAAATCGCTCACGTTAAGATGACTTAAGATGTCTGCGCTCCTCTGCTCGTCTCAGTGTGTGAATGAGAGTGAATGCTGACTGGCCGCATGCTTCTGACTGCGTGATCGTGCTGCACACACACATAAGCTCTTTCGCGCTTTTAAGAGCAACACGTGTACAACTTGAACGTGGCAAAATATGATGCAATAACCATTTATCTCGATTAATGCTTTTTTATAATCGTTTGAAACCGAAATCTAAATCGGATTTTCGATTAATTGCAAAGTCCTTTATAATAGTGGAGCATTTTTATGCCTTTTTCTACCTCAATACTTATCCTCTCCCGCGCCCCCCCTGTGAACTCTGGCGCCCCCCTTAGGGGGGCGCGGACCCCAGGTTGGGAACCACGGTGCTAGTGCATAGTAATACAAGACACACATTCATCATTAGCACAGCTTTAATGACGCTAAAAGTGATGATTTGTTTGGGAAGTTCCTTGTGTTTATCGTTCAGGTACTCCACCGGCTGTTATGTTTACTGAAAGATCTGCAGAATAGCTCCAGCGGGTTTGATTTCAATCTAATGACCTTCTGAAAGCTCTCAGATTTAGTAGTCCATTCGGAGGATTTGTTAAGGTACTTTCACATCAGAACAAAGACACTTTCAGCTTGCAGTCGCTCAGGTGAAGTCACACAGGACAGGATACAGTTACTAATGCTTTTTTCTTCTTTTTTTTTTGTTCTCTGGCAGGTTCACATTGGTCTTTGGCTGTCTGGTTCTGTCTGTGTTCTCCACCATCCCGGCTCACATGGACCTCTCCAATCACTGTCTCCTAATACTGGTGAGGCACCGCAAGCCTAATACTACCCCCTGAAGGCTTTACAGTTGTTGTTTACAATCCATTTCCCCTCTATAATGATGTTTCAGAGTAAAATTATATGAAAAAATGTGTAAATACTGTAAGAAGTAAGGCAAAAGTTAACTGTGGGAAAAGTATGGCATAATGTACATTTTGCCGGTTGTTGTAGCAAAATATACTGTTAAAAAATTAATCAGAATATTGACGTGAAATGAAGCAGTCTATTTTGTAAGTGTCTGGATTAAGGCTGCACAATATGTATAGTTTCAACATCGATATCGCAATGTGCACATCTGCAATGGTCATATCACAGGATCTGCAATGTCGAATCAAGATTATAGTTGATTTTGTTTCTGTTTTTAAGGCCTGTGAAGCATTTAAAGCATTTATACACAAGGAATTTTGTTTTAACTTTAAGAAACATTAATTGCATTTAAGTATATACACACAATGAAAACTACACTTTATTTTACATTTGATACTGCTAGGCTCCCAGAATTTTTTTTTTATTGTTTTTTCCTTTATATCTTTAATCTACTGTATTTATCAGTACTTTTGATTGGTTTAGTATATTTAATGCAGATTCACTCTACAAAATCATCTTGATTAGTGTAAAATCAATGTAAATTCTTTCCAAATTTAATCTGGTGAAATTATATACAATATCGCAATATGTATTGCGCAAAATTAAGTCGTTTTTTTCCAATTTTGTGCAGCCCTAGTCTAAATGTACATACACTACCAGACAAAAGTTTGGGGTCAGTATGATTTTTAAATGTTTTAAAATAAGCTTATCCTGCTCACCAAGACTGCAATTATTTAATTAAAAATACAGTACAAATTGTGAAACTGTGTAATGTTATTGCTCTGTAAAATAAATGCTCAACAGTAGTTCATAATTTAATTTAACCGTTTATTCCAGTGATTTTAAAGATGAATTTTCAGCTTTATTATTCTAGACTTCAGAGTCCCATGATCCTTCAGAAATCACTTTAATATTAATTATTATTATTATTATTATTATTATTATTATTATTATTAATGCTAATAGTAATAAATGACTGGAGTAATAATTTCATTTGACTACATACTATAAGAAAGCAGTAATTTAAACTTTTAATAAATATTTAACAATTTAACATTTTCTTTTTCACATTTAATAAATGATGAACAGAATAATTTTCTTTAAAAAAAACATGAAAAAAACTGACCCAAACTTTTGTCTTGTAGTGTACATTGTCCTGCTAGTTGCATTGCTATTTTCCAAATAATTTTGAAATTAAATATTAATATAAGTTATAATATTTTATTTGCTAGCTAAATACAAAGCTTCCAAGAAGAAGATAGCTTTTAGAGAGACGAGTAAACTACTTTAAAACATTTTTTCTGTTCAAAATGAACAGATCTGATTAAGTGTGAGAATACATCACGATTTTTTTTTAATGTAAATCCATACATGAGCCTATGATAAGCAAGGGTTAATCAACAAATTGCCATGTGCTCGAGTATTTTAAATGCATAATTTGGAGACAGGCGTCACGGTGGCACAGTGGGTAGCACAATCGCCTCACAGCTAGAAGGTTGCTGGTTTATGCCCTGGCTGGGTCAGTTGGTATTTCTGTGTGGAGTTTGCATGTTCTCTCCATGTTTGTGTGGGTTTTCTCCGGGTTCTTTGGTTTCCCCCACAAGTTCAAAAGACATGTGATATAGGTGAATTGGGTAAGCTAAAATTGTCCATAGTGTATTTGTGTGAATGAGTGTGTATGGGTGCTTCCCAGTGATTGGTTGCAGCTGGAGGGGCATCCGCTGCGTAAAACATATGCTGTATAAGTTGGCGGTTCATTCCGCTGTGGCGACCCCAGATTAATAAAGGGACTAAGCTGAAAAGCAAATGAATGAATGAACGAATTAATGTTGTGGAACAAAAAATCCTCCGACATTAGGTGGAGGGTGGTTGCCTCTGTGCAGTGCATTTAAAATTCTTTAAAGCACGGCAATCTATTCATTATCCTGCTTATTCTGTGGTCATTTGCGAAGTTACAGACAAGTAAAACCAGTTTTGCTCTTGCATAATAATATTTGACCGAATTCTCATCGGTTATGACATGTAAGATCTCCTAGTCCCCACTTTAAATTAGTCACATGCATACCGAGACAGGTTGTGTGGGCATGAGAGATTGTTTGTGAGCATGTAAACAACATGGGCATACAATTTTAATAGCTCTTATTAACACGTGTTAGCTTCCTCCTCACAATTTTTCTGAGCATATATGTGAGTCGATTGATAAAAAACAGTTCCCCGGTGAAGCAAACGTCAATGTCCTCAAGATCACACAGAGGACTGAAGGCCCCAGCAATTGCCACTGGGTTGCTGCTCCTTCCAGCCAATCAGAATCAGGAATTTCAACAGACCATGAAATGAGTATTTATATTCTGACTCTTTTAGATCTGTCGGGTTGATTAATGGTGTGTAGTAACCCAGTTTCTGCATGATTCGTCATATCAATAAACCAAAAATTAGCTCCAGCTACAATGTTCTTCTGCAAGAAGAGTTTTATTTATTATTGGGATTAATGTCTTTAAAGAGCTTGATCATATAACTCAGTGGTTCCCAACCTTTTTCTTAGGGGCCCCCCCCATGAGCATATACAAACATTGGAGCCCCCCAGCATTAAAATACACACTCACGCACACACATATGTACTATATATATATATATATATATATATATATATATATATATATATATACTGTATGTGTGTGTTTGTGTAATATTAATATATAATGTATTCTATATCTATATGTATAGAAAATATAAATTAATCAGTTTTAACTTGTCTTGGCCTTCAAAAAAAACAAAATTTAGGTAGGCTTTGTCATACTGTTTAATCTTTTTCTTCGCCTCTGAAGAATCACTGCATTTACGTCTCTCTGCCGATTTTGTTTTTATTTTGCCTTTACAACACGTTGACAAGCACATTGCGTGAGTGAGCAAAATTTAAACAATTATTTGAAGTTATTTATTTTAATTATTTTTACTATTATGTTGGAATTTTAGGCATGTGTTTTGATATATATATATATATATATATATTATTATTATTTTTTTTTTTTTTTTGGTACTTAAAAATACATATATAATAGTAGGGCTGCTCGATTTTGGGATAAATCATAATCACGATTATTTTGGTTATAATTGTAATCACGATTATTCAAAACGATTATCAGTTAAAGTCAAAATTATTAGCGCTCCTGAGAATTTTTTTTTTTATATAAATATTTCCCAAATTATGTTTAACAGAGCAAGGAATTTTAACAGTATTTCCTATAATATTTCTTCTTCTAGGCTAATTTGTTTTATTTTAGCTAGAATAAAAGCAGGTTTAAATATTTAATTTAAGGTCAATATTATTAGCCCCTTTAAGCAATAAATATTTTTGATTGTCTGCAGAAGAAACTACTGTTATACAATGACTTGCCTTGTTACCCTAATTAAGCCTTTAAACTGCACTTTAATCTGAATGCTTGTATTTTAAAAAATATCTAGTAAAATATTATGTGCTCTCATCATAGCAAACATAAAAGAAATCCGTTATTAGAAATACAATATTAAATTCATTTAAATATTATTATTTTTTAGAAAAAAAAAAAAAAACTTCTTTCCATGAAACAGAAATTGGGAGGAAAAGGGTTGCTAATATTTAGGAAGGCTAATAATTCTGACTTCAAGTGTATACATACAGTTATTTTCCACCCTGCAAAGGAAAGAGAAATAAATACAATAGAATAAAAATATTAAACAAACTGTGCTTTAAGCATCTTCACTGTAAGTAAAACACTTTAGCTACAGCAGTCCTTCAGTCAAGACTAGTGAGGGATTTTCTAGTTGTTTGATTAATCATAGAAACAGGCGGCAGCAGGAATATGTCTCGCTGTCTCTTTGGTTTCTCTTTCACGTGTCTTTTGATTCTCAACTTGTTTGTTTATTACACAAATGAGGGTTAATATAAATAATCACTAAACACCGCGTTTTGACACCTATTTGACCATTAAAGTGCTCACGTTAATGACTTTAGATGTCTGCTTCTCAGACTGCGAATGAGACTGAATGCTGACCGGCCGCATGCTTCTGACTGAGTGTGCTTGCTGCACACACACATAAGCACGTGCTCGTTCGCGCTTTCAAGAGCAACACGTGTACAACTAGAAAGGTGGCGAAAGGTATATGATGCAATAATCGTTTATCTCGATTAATGCTTTTTTATAGTCGTTTGAAATCGAAATCGGATTTTCGATTATTTGTACAGCCCTATATTATAGTGGAGCATTTTTATGCCTTTTTCTACCTCAACACTTATCTTCTCCCGGGCCCAATTGTGAACTCTGGCGCCTCAGGTTGGGAACCATTGATATAACTAACTGCTATAGTTACCATTCTTGGACCTTTAGACCAAGATTGTAGGGTCACTGAAGGTAAATTTGACTTTGTCTCTAAACAAGGAGTTACTCTCTAATCTGGTGTTACAAGACCTCTCGAAAAACTTTATTCACTTCCTCGCGTTAAAAGACGATTATGTGGATTAGACCATTTGATATGAGTTGTATTATGCGGAGCTGGTTTTATCCGTTCACTAAGATGTTTTGCTGGCTGATGGAACCTTCTCAGGTGACAACAGAAAGCAGCACGGTGCTTTTAGTGATTGAGCACCTCCGTCCCACCGGAATGCTGATGGAGCAGGCCAAGGTGTTCCTGTTTCAGTTAAAGAGGCTGCATTGAGAGACGTTGAGAGACTGTGTCCTGAAAGCAGGAGACGATGGCGTCAACCCCACTGGTGGGAAAGCAGGACCTACAGAGCCTCCAGTATCAGATAGTGCTCAGGATAAGCAAACAGTGTTGGGTCAAGCGGTGGGAAGCTCAGCTCATCTGTCACAGTAGATCAGGACAGGACAGTTTAAAAGCCTATTCCAGGCCTCTTGGCCCTGAGGGATGGGTAAATGTGAAATCTGACCTGTGAAAATGACCTGTGTCCATCAACAGCTGCATGGAGGAGGCAATTTTTAAATGGAAAAACAAAACTCTTGAGAAATACTGGAAAATTAGCATGCCATTAGTTTAGAAAATAGCAGCAGTTTCAATCACTGACCCTAAAACTCAAGATTTTTGAAAAAGTTAAGGATTTAATATTTATATTAAATATATTTATAATCAGCTTAACACATCAAGCAACTTATCATTTGTAGTATACAAGTATAAATGTATTTACTTGTACAATTTACGTGTACTTACTATAATTTTAGTAAATGTAAAAGAAGAAATAACTTGAAGTAACAAATGATGTGTGTGGTAATGGGGTGGGAAAATAATAAGCTTGTGCATCATCTCGCACCATTTCGAACCTATTTGAAATGTATTTTGTTTAAAGAATTGTTTTGTGTATGATTTTTTTGTTAAAAAAAAAAATCGAATCAAATTATCCACAAGAGTTACACAACTATTATGTTTATCAATTTTAGCATTGATGTTAGGAAATGTAAGAATTTCATACCATTTGGATTTCTAAATTAATAATCTTTATCAAAAAGAGTTAATGCCGGGTTTCAAACTATTTCTTCATGTTTTCCCAACACAAATAGATTAATAGACTTAATAAATTTTACAGATTTAAGTGGATTGAATATAAAACAATTAAGTTGACCCAAATCAAACCTTAAGAATAGCATTGTTTTAACTCATTTTAAATTCAATGGTTCACACTTAGAAATTGTTTGATAAATGTTAGCAGGTTTGGCATGCTGTCCCGGGAGAGAACCCTGAGCTCGGAGATAATTGAGCTCAAGGCTCCCACTTGGTCGATTGAGCATGTAAGGGTTGTACGAGATAAGGTAGTTCTCAGGAGCTCCCCATGGTAAAGGAATAAAGCGGGAGAAGGGGTGGATGGGGGGTAACTTCGGAAAACGAAGAAAATGGAGTAAGTTTTTGCTAGGCAACTTATAGAGAGTTTATGCTATCATGAATGAATAAAAATTGTTTGAAAGTAACTTTATTAAATAAAGTTACTATGATTAGATATCTACTTTAAAATATTAGCTATTTATCATTATACAGTTTTGACTTTCTGTGGTCATCAAAAATCCCATGGCACTTCTTGTTAATCAGTAGGGGTTTAACCCCTGTGTCCTGGCCAAATTCCTTCCATCAGCCCTTACCCATCATGGCCTTCCAATTATCCCCATCCACTGAATTGGCTCTATCACTGTCTATCCACTCCACCTATAGCTGGTGTGTGGAGAAGCACTAGCGTCATTGTCCTGTGGCTGCCATTGCATCATCCATGCGGATGCTGTACACTGCTGGTGGTGTAGAGAGACCCCCCTTATGATTGTAAAGTGCTTAGGGTGTAAGGACTTTCATAATAAAGGCACTATATAAATACACAGTACTTACTTACTTTATCTAATATTATATATTAGATATTTTTGGAAACTTCTAAAATATTTAGTTATTTATAATAGCTTTTATATTTCCTCTTTTTTTTGTAAGTATGATCCAAAATTGACTAAAACATGATGAATCCAAATTAATTATTTGAAACAGTTACAGTAGGATGCTGTTACAATTTAGTCAGCTCAGTGTGAAACATTGTGTGGTTCACAAAGCAACTGGTAATGCAGACCTATGGTCCAAAACCCAAATCTGCTTGTGGAAAGATTTACAGATTGGTTGCACTGGAACTGTGTTTGATTTGTGTGAATATGAAAGCAAGTCAGACTTGTGTGCACTTGTTTAGAAAGTAAAATAACATACCCATACACTTTGGCCAATGACAGTGTCATTAGTTCAACAAAACACATGTAGGTGGTGACGGTTTGATGATTTAGCTGGGATAAGAGCTAAACTGAGCATACAGTGCATTGCAAGTGCAATCAAAGCAGAAAATGAATGACTCGCAATCAGCTTTCTTCTAAAAAAAATCAGTATGCAACTCACAAGCCTTCATGGGATGCACATCCACTACAATAATACCATTCCTTTCACTTTGTTCTACATAATAGCACCAAATGAATAAATTAGCTACATTCTGTTTTTTGTTATGTTTGTGATGACATAAGATGAACCCAAATTCAAGTATGTGTGAAACCAGACCAATTCTGTGCAGTGTAAAAGACATGCTAGTTCATACATTTTGATTTGTTTATTTCACAGGCTCTTTAATATCCCAACAGCCGGTGTCAGCTGATACAAAAGCATTGAAGTTTTGAGTGTTTTTAAGCATTTAGTGAAAGTGTGATGTATCTGGAAGTGTAAGATCTGTGCGGACAGATGTTTTAATTAGGTAAAACCCTCTGTGAACTCAACTGGGGTTTATCTAACAGTGCAATTAGCAGGTGCAAAGATGGTGCCCATGATGAATTAGCTGAGAGGTTAATGATGTTACAGTAGCTAGAATCGTCCACTGGCAGTTAACCAATGTATTTTTGTGTATTTACACATCCAGTGTTTTTAATTGCTAAATATCCATGTCTAAATTTAAAGGGTACTGTATATTAAACAAAGCATATTTTGTGAGAGTTTTATTTAAATTTTCTATTGTACTGTTAAAAAGCACCCCTTTACTATTTTTCGTACATTTTTCAGTAACATATTTTGCTTTATCACCTTTTTTACCAACAGTTTCATTGGAAATATGAGCTTCAGCCTTCATTTTTTGTGATACCGCAGCAACATACTTGAACATACCTTTGACATTTCTAGATGAAATGAATGCTAGAGGGCAGTGTAACGTACTTCTGTTTACTTTCACACTAATGATATTTACAGGGACGTATTGTCAATGAATAAAGGATTATTTTTGTGCAGTTTTTTGCAAAACACTAAATAAACACCACAAAACAGTGTATGATTTGTATGGACAATTTCTAGCATGGTCAGTTTGCTCAGTAGCTTACTTTTTGAATGATGTTGTATTCAATGTTGTACACAATGATTCAGAGCACTCTGGTTTAAGTTCAGTGATGTTCAGTATGGTTCCTCAAAAGAGATGAAAGAAATGTAAAATCAGGGTAAAACTGTCTGGTCACAGCGCAGATTACTCTTACATTTGCTTTTGAAAGCACTGTTGGTTTGATTTACAGTAGGTCAGTGGTTCGCTAGGCCAGCGATTCTCAACCACGTTCCTGGAGGACCACCAGCTCTGCACATTTTCTTGTCTCCTTACACTGCGCTAGGTGATCTGTACAACAAGCCCTGACTTTTTATGGACAGGTACAAAAGTGGACTGTAACATACCATAGTGCATACCTCTAGTGCATATGTCATCTGAAACTTTCAATTTCGTAAAAATGTAGGCTGAGGCAGTTATTTCTGATTAGCCTGGACTGTTTTTTCCCCCTTGTTTTATGGGTAATGGTTCGTTCCAGAACCCTTTTCTCTCTAAATCCAACATTCAGAGAATCTGCTCTGCTTTGATTGGTCAGATGATCCAGTCTGTTGTGATTGCCATTATCTACCCATAATCTAACATGCTCAGTAAAGTACCTACATTTTAGCTCTGTACTGTTTCCTTAGCACTTATGATACAAACAGGTATAATGATATGAGCTCGATTTTTATTGGAAATGTCTTGCTTTGCTTTTGTGGAGCAGAAAACAAAGTCTTCTCAAATTACCAACAGCTCAAATCAAACTCTTCCAGGCCTAAGCTGGAACAATATCACAGTAAAATCAAGCTCACTTTATGGGCAGGCATTAAAAACCGTTGACTGATAATATGCAAATGTATTATGCAAATAATTTCTGAATGGTCATTCAGGTGATTTAGAATCAATTCTTTCTTTTGTGAAACTGTAAATCCAATTGAGCTTTTAAACGTTGGACTCATCTGACATTGACAAACAGCTACATGACACATCACAAGAAAGGCAATTGTCAGAAACGCTTTAATGAAGTGAGGCGTCTGATGTTTGGATTTCTGATTTGCAGGAGTTTGTGATGATTGTTGTGTTTGGTCTGGAGTACATCATCCGCATCTGGTCTGCTGGATGCTGCTGCCGGTACAGGGGATGGCAAGGACGACTGCGCTTCGCTAGAAAACCATTCTGTGTGATAGGTAAGATAAAAATATGTGTTTGTAGAGAGAGATGGATGTGCTGTGCTGGTTTTTGTGTTAACTGAACTGAATGGGAATCAATGACTGACTCAAACATTCTTAACCAACGAAAGATTTCTCTCTTAATTCCCTCTTCAGCAAAAACATGCAATAATGTACTAGTGAAAGATTACAGGCAATAAGTAACCAGTGCTATTTATATTTATTACACATATGGGGTATGTGGTATTGTGTTGTATGAGGGTAATTTAGGCTGAATGTATCAGTATATTGTGTGTGTGTGTGTGTGTGTGTGTGTGTGTGTGTGTGTGTGTGTGTGTGTGTGTGTGTGTGTGTGTGTGTGTGTGTGTGTGTGTGTGTGTGTGTGTGTCAAGCACTGAACCTCATCTTTATTCATTAAGAGTGCAAGTCCCATCAGAACCCCATCAGCGCTGTAACTAACTCTGAATTATGAAACACAGAAGAAAAAGAAAGAGTTTCCACTCCCAGCTTACCATATTTATTCAGCATGCCCCATTAAAAACTGTATAAAGACGTTTGCATACTGTGTCATGCACACCAGAGGACCTCTAATGAAGCTCACTGACTGTGTTTATTAACCGCAATCTCTAATATATGTTATCTTTTCAAATTAATAGAAACATCTTCATGTGGAACACCATAATTAGGTATGTGAGTGAATTAGTGCTGTCATGATACTGGAATTCGGTACAATCTGTACTGAAATTTTAAACACTTCCATTTCCCGCCAACATTTGTGATTGGTTGTTAAGATTATCAGTTTACCAAACTCACCGCTTTTGACTGAGTGTAAACAAATATACGGATGCTGGAGTGTTATAAAGCCACAAAGATCACTCGATTTGTCAGTGGATCACTATTATGTCAACTCATACACATTTCAGCTGATCTTCATGGCTTTAAAATGCTCCAGTGTCCCTGCATCTGTTTTTACACTGATGATCTGCACAGCCAATTACAGTCATTTCTGTTGAGCATGTGAACACTGGCAAATAAGCAGTGTTTAAGAATGGGCTCAACAGCGTTCAAATGTTAGCGAGACATGGACGTTTTTGATATTTCTGTACAATGACAATACTAGAGAATAAAAAAGGAAAAATGTAACAGTTTAAATGATTTACTAATATTTGTATATTTACCTTTTTTCATCCTGTTAATCCACAGTTAATTAAATATAAAGTAACAATAATATAATAATAATAATAATAATTAACAATAATAATAATAATAATAATAGCAGCTAGAATAATAATATAGCTGTTATGAATCAAACGCTAAGAACAAACTTGCAGATCCACATGCAGTTTATTAATCAAGGTCGAGCAGGCAAGGGTTATAAACAGAAGCGAAATATCATAAGGGTAATCCAAAAATAATGGTCAATGTACAGGAGAGAGGTCAGACTAGGCGGCAATGGGACAAGACAAAAAACTAGGCAAGGATCAGAAACACCAAAAAACAAACCAGGAAAACGCTTCATAATAAACAAGACTCAGCAATGTATAAATGAATGTGAGGTATATTTATAGTCCTTGTAATCAGTGTAGATGGGAGTTGTAGTTCGTTCAGCAGTAATCTCCAATAGAGAAAACCCCACTGGCGATTGCAACAAACTACAGGAGGTAATCACTGGCAATCACAACAACAACAATAATAATAATAATAATATAACTGGTAAATATAAAATAAATTGGTAAAACACATTAAGGTTATAAAAATAAAGGTAAATAAAACTGCATATTTGTTTAATTAATAAAAAAGCGGGATTTTCAACATGTTTTTAATCACTTTATGAATACATACTTATTTAATAACAATAACATATCTTACTGACCCCAACATATAATAATTATGAGCCTTTAATTATTACAACACATGCAACGAAATTGGACCACCCTCCGACCATACACAAGCATCATACATTTCAGAGGAAGACAGGTCAGTTGTGAGGTAGCATAGGAAAAAATAGGAAATAAGATACTTTGGGGGGAAAAGAAGGTTTAAAAAATAATAATAATAAGTAAGTAGGACACATGGTGCGTCCCAAATAACATACTTTTGCATTATTCTACACTATTTTGTAGTACAAGTAGTTTAAGTAGTGCGATTACACTGAAAACGCTAAAAAAAGTGCACTTTAATTATCCGGAGACGACGCAGTAGTGCAGTAGGTAGTGCTGTCACCTCACAGCAAGAAGGTCGCTGGTTCGAGTCTCAGCTGGGTCAGTTAGCATTTCTTTGTGGAGTTTGCATGATCTCCCCGTGTTCGCGTGGGTTTCCTCCGGGTGCTCCGGTTTCCCCCACAAGTCCAAAGACATGCGGTACAGGTGAATTGGGTAAGCTTTATTAGCATTTGCTTTATTAATTACTTAAAAGCACTTATTCAACCGGTAAAATGAAGTGTGGACAGTTAGACACTTCACAAACTCAACAACTGCATGTAGCAGAAGGGGCGCTACTTTATTTGTTTTGGATTGTGAAACCAATATTCATAGAGTGCTTATATCGCCTCCCGATGGTGAATGTGGTTATACTTATGGCAGGTATTATTTGGTAATTTGGTCATTCATTTTGCTGATTTGGCAACTATCAAACAACTTCTGGGATTATAATTTCTACGATTATAATTTCTACTTAGTAAAAAAAACAGTGTTCCATTTGGGACAACACTACATTCATAAACTATGCTGTTGAGTGTGTAAGTGCATAAGTACATAGTGAATAGGAGCATAGTGTACAGTGTGCCATTTGGGAGGCAGCTCAAATCTGAGACCAGAGCTTAAAGTTATTTAATTATCATTCATTCATTTTCTTTTCGGCTTAGTCTCTTAATTAGTCAGGGGTCGCCACAGCGGAATGAACCACCAACCTATCCAGCATATGCTTTACACAGCGGATGCCCTTCCAGCTGCAACCCATCTCAGAGAAACAGCCATACACTCCTATTCACATACATACAGTATGTACAATTTAGCTTAGTTAATTCATCTATAGCGCATGTCTTTGGACTGTGGGGGAAACCAGAGCACCCGGAGGAAACCCACTTTACATTTACATTTACATTTACATTTAGTCATTTAGCAGACGCTTTTATCCAAAGCGACTTACAAATGAGGACAAGGAAGCAATTTACACAACTAAGAGCAACAATGAATAAGTACTAAAGGCAAGTTTCAGGTCTGTAAAGTCTAAGAAGGGAAGTGTTAGTAGTTTTTTTTTTTTTTTTTTTTTTTTGTACAGTTAGTGTGATATTCAAATAGGCAATTGCAGATTAGGAAGTGAAGTGGAGACTAAATAGTTGAGTTTTTAGTCATTTCTTGAAAATAGCGAGTGACTCTGCTGTTCTGATGCAGTTAGGGAGTTCATTCCACCAACTGGGCAGATTGAGCGTGAGCGTTCGCGAAAGTGATTTTTTCCCTCTTTGGGATGGAACCACGAGGCGACGTTCATTCACAGAACGCAAGTTTCTGGAGGGCACATAGATCTGCAGAAGTGAGTGCAGATAAGAAGGTGCTAGGCCAGAAGTCACTTTGTAGGCAAACATCAGAGTTTTGAATTTGATGCGAGCAGCAACTGGCAGCCAGTGCAAACGGACTAGCAGCGGAGTGACATGTGCTCGTTTAGGTTCATTGAAGACAACTCGTGCTGCTGCATTCTGGAGCAGTTGAAGAGGCTTGATAGAGTTAGCTGGAAGCCCAGCTAGTAGAGAGTTGCAGTAATCCAGTTTGGAGAGAACAAGAGCTTGAACAAGGAGTTGAGCTGCATGTTCAGATAAGAAGGGTCGGATCTTTCTGATGTTATAGAGTGCAAATCTGCACGATCGAGCAGTTCTAGAAATGTGGTCAGAGAAGTTTAGTTGGTCATCAATCGTTACTCCAAGGCTTTTCACCATTTTGGATGCAGTAATGGTTGCCCCGTCCATCTGGATTGAAAAGTTATGGTGTAGAGTCGGGTTGGCAGAAACTACAAGCATTTCCGTTTTTGCGAGGTTCAGCTGAAGATGATGATCTTTCATCCAGTGTGAAATATCCAACAGGCAGGCTAAGATACGAGCTGGAACCGAGGGATCATCAGGATGAAAAGAGAGGTATAGCTGGGTATCATCAGCATAGCAGTGGTAGGAGAATCCATGTCTCTGGATGACTGGTCCTAGAGATGATGTGTAGATGGAGAAGAGAAGTGGCCCAAGAACAGAGCCTTGAGGTACCCCAGTGTTTAGATGCTGTAGGTTGGACACCTCTCCCCTCCAAGACACCCTGAATGACCTGTCAGAGAGGTAAGATCTGAACCATTTTATAACAGTGCCCGCAACGCCCAGTGACTCAAGCGTAGATAGCAGGATCTGGTGGTTGACAGTGTCAAAAGCAGCTGACAAGTCCAGCAAAATGAGGACTGATGATTTAGAGTCTGCTTTAGCCAGTCTGAGATCCTCCACGACCGAGAGCAGGGCAGTCTCAGTTGAGTGGCCTTTCTTAAAGCCGGATTGCTTGTTGTCCATGAGATTGTTTTGAGTAAGAAAGTCCAGGACTTGATTGAACACTACTTTCTCCAGAATCTTGGCCATGAATGGAAGCAGGGATACTGGTCTGTAGTTTTCAAGTAGCGTATGGTCCAGGTTGGGTTTTTTTAGCAGTGGGGTTACCCTAGCCTGCTTAAATGTAGTGGGGAATAAACCAGAGTCAAGAGATGTGTTAATTATGTGAGTCAGTGTTGGTATGACTGCAGGAGAGATGGCTTGCAAGAGATGAGAGGGAATGGGATCGAGTGGACAGGTGGTTGCATGGCTAGATAGCACAAGTTTGGACACCTCAGACTCAGAGAGCTGAGAAAAAAAGGTGAGTGTGTGTGGTGTTGGTGTTGTATCTTGCGTATTTGTTGTAGGTGCAGCAAATTGAGCACTGATTTTTGCAGTTTTGGTGCAGAAGAATGTAGCAAAGTCATCAGTAGTAAGTGTGGAGGATGCGGGTGGAGGAGGAGGATAGAGGAGGGAGAAAAATGTTTTAAAAAGTAGGCGAGGATTAGTGGCATTGTTGTTTTTCAGACGGTAATACGTCTGCTTTGCAGAAGTAACCTCAGCTGAGAAAGAGGACAGAAGAGTTTGGTATGTTAAGAGATGTGCAGGATTTTTAGTTTTCCGCCAAATTCTCTCCGCAGCCCGAAGTTTTGAGCGATGCTCACGGAGAGCATCCGAGAGCCAGGGTGCAGGAGGACTGGCACGGGCTGGCCTGGATGCAAGAGGACATAATCGGTCTAGACATGATGCTAGTGTGGAGCAGAGTGTATTAGTGGCACTGTTCGAATCAAGTGCAGTGAGTTTGCGAGATGGAGGAAGAGAGTCTGAAACAATGGTGGATAGTCTATTGGGTGAGAGAGATCGTAGGTTTCTGCGAAAGGTAACCAGTGTAGGAGTGTGTGGCGGCTCAGGAGTAATGTGGATGTTGAGAGACAGAAGGAAATGATCAGATATTTGTAGTGGAGTTACTATTGTTTGATCAGTGAAGCAGTGTCGTGTGTAAATAAGGTCTAGCTGATTACCTGATTTGTGGGTAGCAGAAGTAGGTGCTCTTTTTAGGTCAAAAGAGGCAAGCAAAGTCTGAAAGTCTGCAGCTTGCGGTTTGTCAACGTAAATGTTGAAGTCACCTAGCACCAATAAGGGAGTGGCAAAATTAGAAAAAGATGAGAGAAGAACATCCAGTTCATCTAGGAAGTGACCTAATTTACCTGGTGGGCGGTAGATGACAACCACATTTATGTAGAAGGGGTGGATAATGGTGACTGCATGGAATTCAAAGGAGCTGATTGTTGGCAGGGACGGTATCAGAGTAAATTTCCATTCTTTGGAAATTAGTAGTCCAGTCCCACCCCCTCTCCCTGTCTGACAAGGAGTGTGGGAAAAAGAGAAATTAGCAGAAAGAGTAGCATGTGTAGCAGTGTCCTCCGGCCTCAACCAGGTCTCAGTTAGAGCCATGAGATTATAGTCAGAATATGTAGCTATGGAGGTAATAAAATCAGCCTTGTTAACAGCTGATTGACAATTCCAGAGGCCCACGGAGAGAGAGAGTTGTGAAATAGTAGATACATGTATTGAACGAAGGTTGTGAGGATTACGCCTGCAGCGCACCTCCCGTGTTTTGCGAGTGTTAGTAACAACAGGAATTAGAAAACACATAATAAAAGTGCACTGACAACAAAAAATAAGTGTAAAGTAAAACAATACAGTAAAGTACTCAAGTGCTTTGTCGGTGTCTTTGCTCGGTGGAGTCGCGCAGGTAGAGTCGATGGTCTTTACCCTCGTCGGTCTTCACACGAGGCGGTCTTCACACGAGGCTGCCGCGACCGCTGCCGCGGTGAACTAGTTGTTTGAATTCACTTTGAATTCACAATTCAAAGCACTAGCTGATTGAATTCAGCTGGACACGCCTCGAGAGTCAAAACAAGGGCCGAAACTGAGGCGGACGACGCGAAACCGCGTCTGCGTTCGCTACACAAGCTCTTATAGTAACCAAGGAAACAGTGGCTAAACAACTTCTAGTATTATACACAACTGAAAGCAAGTTTAAATGTCCTACAACTTTACACAAACAGCTGGAAACAAGTCCTCAAACCATACACAACAACTGAAACAAATCTTAAATGTACTTACAGGCTGCTGGTCTAGATGCTGCTAAAGTGCTTCTCCTGCCGACTAATGCTAACATGGGGAGAACATGTAAACTCGGAAATGCCAACTGACCCAGCCAAGGCTCGAACCAGCAACCTTCTTGCTGTGAGGCAACAGTACTAACCACTCTGCCAACGCATTGCCAGTTATTTTATTTTGAAAATTAAAATTGAGTTGAGTTTATTTATACACAATGTTCCAAAGCAAATTCCAATCAAATTATGTTATGAAAGGAAAAGAAAATAGTGCCTTTCATGATTTTTGTGGTTACTCTATTGCTTATGATTTTGCGGACTTCCACATTTTAGTATGGCAAAAACCATAAATCTGCTGCGTTTATTCCCATCTGCTCATGTTCCTCAGTCTTCCACTTTCACCTTGCATCAACCTTCAATCGTTGTGCGATTCGGATTTCAAATAACAGACTTTTAGGAGGCCACCTTCAGCATGTGTGACACGAAAAACATTCTTATTTCAAACCTCAAGTGTAACGTTCAGTAGGAAAATATGATGGAGGTGATTTGAGTAAAGAACAATATTATCCCTGGTTAAGACACGCTGGCAGCTGGAGAAAGTTTTCAGTGTGATTAGATATGCTGTTCTGTGAGGCTGTGGTTCTCTGCTCTCTCTTGGCCATTCCTTCTGTCTCTGATCTCAAGTAGAAAGACATAACAGACAAGTGAAACAGCGTAATTATTGAAATATCTCTGTCCCTGGTGTCTCGGAAAGCTACTGTGCTACTGAGAACAACAGCAAGCTTACCCACATAGAAGACATGGAAATATATGCAAATTACGTATATGATACACAAGTGATATTTGGATTTTACTTATATAAAATACACTCACCGGCCACTTTATTAGTGACACTTTAACGGATTGGTCCCCTTTTTGCCTTCAGAACTGCCTTGATCCTTTGTGGCATATATTCAACAAGCTACTGGAAATATTTCTCAGAGATTTTGCTCCATATTGACATGATAGCATCACACAGTTGCTGTACATCCATGATGTGAATCTCCTGTTCCACCACATTCCAAAGTGCTCTATTGTATTGAGATCTGGTGACTGTGGAAGCCATTTGAGTACAGTGAACTCATTTTCATGTTCAAGAAACCAGTCTGAGATGATTCACGCTTTATGACATGGTGCGTCATCCTGCTGGTAGTTGCCATCAGAAGATGGCTACACAGTGGTCATAAAATGATTGACATGGTCAGCAACAATACTCAGGAAGGCTGTGGTGCTGACACAATGCACAGTTGGTACTAATGGGCCCAAAATATGACAAGAAAATATTCCCCCGCCTAAGCCATTACACCACCACCTGTAGGATGGATCCAGGCTTTCTTATTGATGGCAAATTCTGACTCTACCATTCGAATGCTGCTGCAGAATTTGGCATTCATCAGACCAGGCAACATTTTTCCAATCTCCTATTGTCCAGTTGTGGTGGGCCTGTGCGAATTGTAACCTCAGTTTCCTGTTCTAAGCTGACAGAAGTGGCACCTGGTGTGGTCTTCTCATGCTGTAGCCCATCCGCCTCAAGTTTCGACATGTTGTGCATTCAGAGATGCTATTGTACATGCCTCGGTTGTAACGAGTGGTTATCTGAGTTACTGTTGTCTTTCTATCAGCTCAAACCAATCTGGTCATTCTCATCTGACCTCTGGCATCAACAAGGCATTTGTGGCCACAGAACTGCCTCTCACTGGATATTGTTGTTTTGGGACCATTCTCTTTAAACCAGTAGATCAGCATTTTTCTGAAAAACTCAGACCAGCCCGTCTGTCACCAACAACCGTGCCACAATGCTAATTAGAAATTTGCATGAACAAGCAGTTGTACATGTGTACCTAATAAAGTGGCCGGCATGTGTATATGTTAATTTTTCAAAATGTACATTGCGTATATGATATTTTATAAATGTGGAGTTCAGATATGATCTTGTATGTCATACAGTATATGTATGTCCGTATATTGCCATATATCAGATGTCTATGTGGGTAGACTATTAGGTAAAAGTAGTCCAGTGCAATTGAATTTGCATTGTTTTTTTGTTCTAGTCCAATAATCTTTATATCTATAAAAATAATACTTGCTCTCTATTGTGCTTGTGTTTCAGACATTATTGTGCTCATAGCATCCATCGCAGTGGTTTCAGCTGGTAGCCAGGGCAATATTTTTGCCACGTCTGCACTTCGCAGTCTGCGTTTTTTGCAGATTCTGCGCATGGTGCGCATGGACCGGCGAGGCGGTACCTGGAAACTGCTTGGATCTGTAGTCTACGCTCACAGCAAGGTAAACCAAATACTACTTAATGGCAAAAAAGAATAATAGTCCTCAGGTTCATGACATTGCGTGTGAGTTTTCATGTTGAGGCAGACATGTGACCCCACAATCAACCTCTCTTTCCAGCATCGCTTGGATTGAAACTCCATCCAGGAGCTGCAGCCAAACCACACGCTTCCTCAGTCCTCAGTTACCCGCCATTTAGTGGAGAGATTAGGGGTCCCCGCAATGAATCATTGTGGTCGATATAATAGCAGAGTTACTTATTTCTATCTCCTCTCAGGCTTAAGCGTTTACATTTTCCTGACAACCCTGATCAAACCAAAAAATCAAACAGCTTACACCAGCCTGGTTTGCTGGCCTTTGGTGGTTTAACTGGTTTGCCAGTCTGACCAAACTGGTTTTGTTTGGTTTAAACTAAAACCCCAGTCTGGTCATCTAATGATTTGCTGCTTAACAAGTTGATTCCCAAAACTGATTAGCTGACAGACAGATTAAAACAGAAGTATGTCATAAAATACTGTTGACGTTTTTAAATTCATTCATTCATTTTCTTTCGGCTTTGTCCTTTTATTCATCAGAGGTTCCCACAGCGAAATGATCCGCCAACTTATCCAACATATGTGTTACACAGTGGATGCCCTTTCAGTTGCAACGCAGTTCTGGGAAACATCCATACACACTCATACACGCACATGCACTGCAGCAAATTTTGTTTATTTAATTAACCTATACCGCATGTTTTTGGACTGTGGGGGAAACCGGAGCACCCGAAGGAAACCTATGCGAACACGGAGAGAACATACAAACTCCACACAGAAATGCCAACTGACTTAGCCGGGACCCGAACCAATGGCTTTCTTGCTGTGAGGCAACAGTGCTAACCACTGAGCCACTGTGTCACCTTAAACTTTAAAAATGTATCCAATAAATATTTTTTATGAAGTTTGTAATACAAAATATGTTCATATGCGGGGTTTGCTGGTCTCCCAGTCTGTTGCTCAGATGGTTTAGCTGGTCCTTAAAAGTGACTAACATGGACCCAAAATCAGCTTCAAACCAACGATATGAATGAACAAAAAGTGTAAAAGTCAATAAAAGAAATAATTCCCTTTATTTAAAGTCAAGAAAACCATGCCTTATATTGACTTTTGCTTTTTTCACAAGATGATCCTCCAACCAGACTGACTTATTTCCCTGAAGTCAAATAGCAAGATACTTCCTGCTAGAGGAAAACAGGGAAAAGTACAGTAGGTCTTATGTGATTATTTGAACACTTTTGACAACATGAACATCCAGTTAAATACATTTTCTGGAAGTCGATAATTTTGGACAAGCTCAAAACAATTTAGATCCCCTTTACCCCTATTTAGTGTTGTTCACTTTGTATTTATGAAAATAAATCTTAAAACCAGGTGTATATGGTAAAAGGAGACTAGCAAGACCAGCAAACCAACTTCAAATGGGCTATATGCACAGCTAGTGTTTTTCAGCCAATGATTAACTTCTGGTGAAAGATTAATATGACTATTTTCAATTTCATAAGGTTTCTTTTACAACATCGATGTTGTAATATTATTACAATGCATTTAGTCAAATAGACTTAAGCATTCATCGAGTTGTTCAATCGTAAAACGAGATGAAAGACCATTTAAACACAAATGCCGTCATTATCAGCAGGCGAGTGCAGAAACTCCATTAAAAATGCTGGGGGAAAACATATTTTAAAGAAATGTCAGGGAAAAAATGGAATTTAACGCAGTGCTTCCTGTCTGGTCTGAGACCCTCTCAACATCGTAAATATATCAGGCAGTGAAGATCACTGATTTTTAAAGAAATCAGACCTTAAATGTGGCAATTGTAAAATAGAAAGACAGTTCACTGGAAGCACTGAGGCTGACTGGCTGTAATTAAAACTCTGCGATATGCATAAACCCCATTGTTGTTTCTACAGGAGAAAAAAAAACTTTTTTTGCATGTATGAACATTATTTTATTATACTGTATGTGTGTTTCAGGAGCTTGTGACTGCCTGGTACATTGGCTTCTTGGTCCTGATCTTTTCTTCATTCTTGGTCTACTTGGTGGAGAAAGAATTTAACAAACAGTTTGCCACCTATGCTGATGCCCTCTGGTGGGGTACGGTAAGTCAACTCGAACGTTTTCACTCTTCTTCTATCTACGATCCATTTTCACAGTCTGTTTTCAGGATGTTGTATACTATGCTTTAGTCAATAAGCGAGTTACATTCATTGACCATGACAGAGTTTAGTTGCTGTGGTTCGCACAGCAAGACTGGTCTTGGTTCCTCACCAGCTGACTTAACAAATCAATGCACGTAATTTCCTGCTCCTACCAAGCACAAACAGAGCTGTTTCAAGAGATGTGAGGTCAGTTGAGGGTATGGTCTCCTGGAGTAGAGCTCAGAAACCAGCGGTGGGCCAATATTATGCTGCCACACGCTATTTACACTGGGTTGAGCCCAAGCCAGCGTCTGAAGCTGACAGGCAGGCTTCCGTGGAGGAAAACAGGAGAGCGGGATTCTGGCGTTGTGTGTGAGCTCCCACACGCCTAGTCTCTGCCTGTGAAAGGCCGCAGTGCTCTTCGCATTTGACAAATCACTCACTTTTACTGGATGTGTTGAATTTGCTTTGGCCAGGCCTTTGTTTAAGTATCCCCTGCCTGCAAAAATCCAAAGCGCTCACTTATGAGTGTGGAAAGGAGTGCGAGATGTTAGACTGATCCTTTTTTTGACAAGCCACCAAAGTATTTCTCTTGCTGAAAGATGGATCTAATACTGTACGTCTGTGTGGCCGTAACTTTAGAATACACTTTGGTGTTTATGAGCGCTTAGTATGGCTTTTTGGACAGAATTGAATGCAGTTTTGGCTGCCTTTTTCAATGTTGTTCTATGATTGGCCCTCGTGTAGATTAATTCGCAGTATACAGTATGGAGGTTAATGCTTCTTCGAACATGACATGTGGAGTGTTAAAGTACACTGCGGTCCTAGAACCAGACACATAATTCAATGCTGTCTATTTGTGGGAAGTCAACACTTTGTTTTGGAATAAGAGGCTTTTCTATGTTAAGCAATAGCTGTTTTAATATACGAAGGTTGATCCGTCCTATTTTTCCATCTTTATTCAGATTACCCTCACAACCATTGGATACGGGGATAAGACTCCACAGACCTGGACCGGACGACTTCTTTCCGCAGGGTTTGCTTTGTTGGGCATCTCGTTCTTCGCTTTGCCTGCTGTGAGTAACCTTTACCTGATATGTGCATTATGACATTATAGTAGATAGATTAAACTAAGTACTCAAAAATGAAAATCATCATCTTCTCAGCCTCATGCTTTCCTAGATGTGTTTAGTTATGTTCTTTTTTATAACACAATAAGTGAAACTTTTATTTTCCGTATGAAACTTCAAAAAGGCCATAAAACCCCACAAAAAGTGCAAATTACTGTAGGGTTATATAGTCATTAATACCTACTGATAGGTAATCTGCTAACAACACAGAAGCAAAATGAGTTCAGGGTTTCTGGAGGGTCTTAAAAAGTGTTAAGTTTGACTTGGTAACTACTTGCAGAAAACCTGGGTGACATGCTTTTGGGTGTTAAATACATTGAATGTGCAGTAGAAATTAGAAACCGTGGTCACACTTTATTTTGATGGTCCATTCATTGAATTTAAATTACATTGCATCTACATGCAAGCTAATTCTCATTAGATTATAAGTAGACTGTTTGGTTGGGGTTAGGGTTGGGGTTAGGGTTAGTGTAAGATGACATTTTCTTGCAAAGTTTCTTATCCATTAGTCAGTTAAAGGTGTGTTTAGCAGCAGTATCAACAGGTAATAAGGAGCCAGTCTACTGATACTCAAATAGACCATCAAAATAAAGTGTTACCAAAACTATTTTAATTAATGACACCTGTGGCCATTAAGCAAACTGCAGGCAAAAACCCAAGCCGTGATCACACTAGACTTTAGGCATTCAAAATGTAATCGATGCTGTGCAATTATTATTAATATTAATATTTAACTACATATTTACAAAACATTTTCTTCATTATATTTCATCTGCAACAACAACAATGTGAACTTATATAAAGACCTGTTTGATCGTTAACTTTTGAATTCATAATTATGCAAACACATGAGATTTCTCTGCAAGACTCACGGATTGCAAGTTAACCTGCTGCTGCTTTTTCAATGTAGAAGGAAATCAAAAATAAAAGAAATGGTGATGACGTGTTGAGCTGACTGACAGGCACACACTAGTGGGGGGAAATGAAGGACATAGTACTTAGGGCCCGGGCACTTTAGAGGCCTGCGACAGGCAGAGGTGGAGCCCATGTGAGACCACCCCCCTTTAGCTTTTGACCATAGCAACCCCCCCTCCTCTCTTCACTTTCAACAATGGTAACAAATGCCCCTCCCTCCACTCTACACCTTTAATGACTTTGACGATCACAACAAACTCCTCTCCACGCTCTTCACTTTTAACGATCACAACAAATGCCCCTCCCTCCCCCATGTTCACTTTCGACAATGGCAACAAATGCCACCGGACCCCCTCCTGCTTCTCATTTTTGACGATCACAGCAAATGCCCCTCCCCCCGTGTTTGAAGATCACAACTACCCCCCCCCTCTTTTCTCTCGCCACGATCACATGAAATGCAACAATCCCCCCATGTTCACTTTCGACAATGACAACAAATGCCACCTGACCCCCCTCCTGCTTCTCATTTTTGACAATCGCACCAAACCCCCCCTCCCCCTAGCTTTCGACGATCACAACACCCCCCCCCCTCTTTTCTCTCGCGACGATCGCAACAAATGCAACAACCCCCCATGTTCACTTTCGACAATGACAACAAATGCCACCTGACCCCTTCTGCTCTTCATTTTCAGTGATTGCAACAAAAGCATTTCCTTCAGCTTTCGACGATCACAACAAACACCCCGCCCCCCTCTTCTCTCTTGATGATCACAACAAATGCCACCTGACCACCTCCTGCTTTTCATTTTCGACGATCACAACAAAAACAACAGCACCCCCAGCCATGTTCACTTTAAATGATGGCAACAAATGCCTACTGACCTCCTTCTACTCTTAATTTTTGACAATCTTAATTAAGCTACCACACAATCTGATAATAAGGAATTAGTATGTTTCAAATCTTGCATACTTGATCCATACTAAACATACTTTTAATACTTAGTATTAGTAGGTGAATTGGGACGCACAACAATAATAGAATCTGAATGATATACAGTATACACAAAAAAAACTAAAATGAACAAATAACAAATTAGACATTACCAACTAAACATGTTTACAAATTATTGAGATCTAAGGTTTAACAATACATCAGGCATCACTTCACAAGACTAACATCCAAAGTCACTTACAAAAGATAGGGGATTTGTGGTCTTTTTTGGGGGAAAATTTAAAATCACTAAAAGTGTGTTTGTTCGCCTGGGCAGACTGTTAGCAGTGTGCGGATTTGTATGATGTGTTTGAGAAGGCTCAGTATGTGTGGTTGTGAAGGCCCTCGGAGGCCTGTCTGACTCATTGACGTCAAGTGTTTCTGCAACTCTCAGCTCACAAATGTGTCCTGCAAGCTCACAGTCTCTCTCTCAGTCCAGATCAGTAATGGGGTATGATTGTGTTGTGTCTGTGGGTGGATGTGGGTGTAGGGTATTCTCGGCTCTGGCTTTGCTCTGAAGGTCCAAGAGCAGCACAGACAGAAGCACTTTGAAAAGAGGCGAAACCCAGCCGCCAGTCTCATACAGGTAAACTCTTTCAATTTTATAATGTCCAGCCTAATGCACAGATCCTATTATGTTTTATAGCTGCTGATTGTTAAGGAAGCAAAGGACTTTATCTGTATGTTTGGTTTGCCATATTCTTTTGCAAATGCTTGAGAATCAATTTTATTGCAAATTGTTAAACATGCAGTACTCTGCACATATACAGTTGAAGTCAGAATTTTCAGCCCCCCTTTAAAAAATATTTCTCAAAAAGTCGAAATTATTATCCCCTTAAAGCTATATTTTGCAGAACAAACTATTTCTGCAGAACGTTCGAGGTTACTAAAGTAACCCTTCGTTCCCCGAGGAGGGGAACGGAAGCACTATAAGTGGATTTGATTGTAAAATCCACGCATTGGGAGGTTCGGTTCAGAAGCTACTCGTCTGAAAGAGTATTGAACGGGCCAATTAAGAATGAATTGGCAGCGCAAGCCTGCGCAGGTGAGCGGCATAAGCAATCAACTGAGTATATAAGCTCACCTGGCGCAGCAGACGCTATCCTTTTTAAGCTGAAGAGACTTTCAACAGCTAAGGGACAGTCATTATGGCGACGGAGTATAGTGCTTCCGTTCCCCTCCTCGGGGAACGAAGGGTTACTTTAGTAACCTCGAACGTTCCCCTTCGGGGGGAACTTCAGCACTATAAGTGGATTTGATTGTAAAATCCACGCATTGGGAGCCCATTGAAAGCGCCATAATGACTGCACCTTACCAACACCCCCGATGAGGAGATAGTCAAGCAAGCGTGACGCACCCACATCATGGGGGGCGCGGTCCTCCAACGTGTCCCTGGCCCTAATTTATCCTACTTCAACAGAAGTTTTACGGATTTATATATATTTTTTGGGAAGTCGTGAGCATCTAGATAATTCTAGGAAAATACGACAGTACGTTGGGAAGCGTGCAATCCCGATAGGGAGGACGCTGCGGAGGCCATCCGTTACCCAAGGGGGGATAGATGGCAGAATTTACATATGGACTAGCCCTAAAAAGGGGGAGTACGCATAGCAAAAGAGTGGTTAGCGGGGAGGGAAGACACGGGTCCGCCCAGGGGGGGGGGACTTAACCGTGGCTGAATAAGCATATGGGATCGCCTAGTGGGGACCACGCATAGCAGGCACCTTTACCCAAAACGCGGGCTGACCAGCGGGCAGACCTACAACGTAGTGGGCCAGCAAGTGACTCCTCCGCTGAGTCAGTGCTGGGGGCCACGGAGGAATCTGCAGGGCTCACCTGACGGGGAACTTTACTGACAGATAAAAAGGCGCACGTATCTCCGTGTTAGGGAAAATGGCGCAGCAAGCGTGTTTCAACACCCTACCGAATTGTTTCCTCAATCACCAAGGGTTACCTAATACCCTTGAGGAAACCGGCTCCACTCGCAGATTGTAAAACCTTGCAAATGTGTTGGGTGTCACCCAGCCCGCAGCTCTACAGATGTCTGTTAGAGGGGCGCCGCGTGCGCGCGCTCGAGAGGATGCGAAGCTCCGAGTGGAGTGCGCACGCGCTCTCGGGGGACGCGGCTCATCTCGGCTCTGATAGTGAAAGAAAGGCATCCACAATCTAGTGGGAACTTATTTCGGTACGGCACTTCCCTGCTGCCGACCGCTATAACAGACGAAGAGCTGCTCAGATGATCTAAACTCTGAGTGCGGTCCGGATAATACGCAAAACGCGAACTGGACAATAAATAAGGGCTGGGTCTGCCTCCTCCGAGGGCAGCGCTTGCAGGCTCACTACCTCGTATTAAAACGGAGTGGTAGGAACCTTGGGCACATATCGCGGGCGGGGTCTCATACGTGAGAGAAGCCAGCCCAATTACAGGCACGAGTCACTGACCGAAAAATGCCTCCGGGTCCCCGACCCTCTAATCGATATCAACGCGACCAGCAGAGCTGTCTTCAGGGACAGAAAGATACTGAGTCGAGGATCGAAGGGATCTGACGCGGCTTGTGTAGCGAGGGCGAGATCCTAAGAGGGCATGAGAGGGGGCGGGGTGGATTAATTCGCTTAACGCCCCTGAGGAACCGGATGATGAGGTTATGCGTTCCCACGGTGCTGCCAGCCACCGCGTTATGAGAGCGGAGATGGCAGCCACGTAACCTTGAGTGTGGAGGGTGACAGCCTGCTCTCCAACTTCTCTCGGCGTAAAGAAAGCACAACGCTGATCTGGCAAATTACGGGGGTCTTCTCAGCGAGAGACACACCATTCAGTGAATAGACTCCACGTCAGGGCATAGGCGCGCTCGGGGAGGGGGCTCTAGCCCGAGTGACGGTATTAGCCACCGCAATCGGAGGTTACCTAAGTCTTCCTCGCGTCTAAAAATCTCTTCAAAGATCGGCGAGGGTGCCAGGTGGTGCCCTGTCCCTGAGAGAGTAGGTGCTCTCTCGAAGGGACTGCCAGGGGAGGGCTATCGCGAGGGAGAGCTCTGACATCCAGGTCCGGTTGAGCCAGAGGGGCGCAACCAGCAACCTGTTCCTCGTCCTCCCTGACCATGCACAGTAACTGCGCGAGCAGGCTCACTGGGGGAAACGCGTATTGCGCTTGCCCCGAGGCCAGCTGTAAGCCAGTGCATCCGTGCCGAGAGCACTCGGTCAGGGAAAGAACAACTGGCAATGAGCGATCTCGGGGGAAGCAACAGATCGATCTGGGCTTCCCCGAATCGCGCCCATATCAGCTGAACAGACTCGGGGTGGAGTCTCCATTCTCCAGGACGCAAGGCTGCCGTGAGAGCGCATCGGCTGCACGGTTGAGCTTGCCTGAATATGAATGGCGTGCAGCGATTTCAGCCGCGGATGACTCCAGAGGAGCAGACGGCGGGCGAGCTGAGACATGCGGCGAGAGCGCATACCCCCTATACGGCTGATATACGCCACCGCCGCCGTACTGTCCGTCCTGACCAGCACGTGTTGCCGCTCCAACACCGGAAAAAAACGGTGGAGAGCGGGGAACACTGCCAACAGCTCCAGGCGATATGCCAATGCAACTGGGTACCTTTCCACAGGTCCGCAGCCGCATGCCCGCAACGCACAGCCCCCCAGCCCGTGTTGGAAGCGTCTGCTGAAACGACAACAAGACTGGACGCCTGTTCTAGAGACACCCAGGCCTGTAGGAACGAGGGGTCGCTCCAAGGGCTGAGGGCGCGGCGACACAGCGCAGTAACAGAGACTCGGTGTGCGCGCGCGTGCCATGCGCGTCTGGGGACTCGATCGTGAAGCCAGTGCTGAAGTGGTCTCATATAGAATAATCCGAGCGGCATGAAGCGGCTGCGGATGCCATATGCCCCAGGAGCCTCTGAAATTGTTTCAGTGGGACCACTATTTTACTGTCGAGCTCTCTCAGACAGTACAGCATCAGCTGAGCGCGCTCTCCGGAGAGGCGCGCTGCCATGGTGACCGAGTCCAGCTCCAGCCCGAGAGAAGAGATCCTCTGCACGGGGGCGAGTTTGCTCTTTTCTCGGTTGACCTGAAACCCCCACAGGTGGAAGTGCCAGAGCACTTTGTCTCTGTGCATAATCAACTCTGTGCATAATCAAAAGAGAGGGCAATTCAGCCAGTCGTAAAGAAATTGAGTATGCAGATGCCCGCGAGCCGAAGGGGCGCTGAGGCACCCTCCGCGGGCTTGGTGAGGACCCGCGGAGACAGAGAGAGCCCGAAGGGGAGGGCTTTGTATTGCCAAGCTCGACCTTCAAACGCAAACCGCAGAAACTGTCGGTGGCGAGGAAGAGTGGAGACATGGAAATACGCGTCCATCAGGTCTAATGCTGCAGACCAACCCAGAGGACGAACGCACCGGAGGATGCGCTTCTGCGTGAGCATTCTGAACGGCAGCTTGTGCAGGCAGCGGTTCAAAACGCGCAGATCTAGGATTGGCCGTGACCCACCGCTCTTTTTGGGCACGATGAAGCGTGGGCTGTAAAACCCGCTCTCCATCTCGGCTGGAGGGAGCGGCTCGATTGCATCCTTCGCCAGGAGGACAGCAATCTCCTCTCGCAAGACAGGGGCGGACAGGGGGCTGACCCTGGTGAATACACACCCGTGACTTGGGGGGCCGTTTCGCGAACTGAATCGCATAGCCGAGTCTGATTGTGCGTATGAGCCACCGCGAAGAGCTGGCCCGCGCTAACCAGGCAGGCAGAGCTCTCGCTAATGGACTCATCGCTACAATCGCTGATGTACCAGCAGTGGGGCAGCGCGGAGTGGGTGTGCTGATCCGGGAAGCTCGCGGGTCCCACGGAAAAGCTGAAGGTGAGATATTTGCTCTCACTCCAAACCCGAGCTCCGGAGGGGAGGCTCGAGGGGTGGGAGAAAGGAGACCGTCCTCCCAGCGCTCGTGAGCCACTGGCGAAACGCACCGAATCTGCAAGCTAGAAAGCATAGCGTCCCAGACTGGCAGATTTCGGGCTGTCACATCTGGGGAAGTGAAAAGTGCCCTTTCATAATGTTTTCATGGCAGTAAAAAGTGCCGTTGGAAATGGGGCCCCGCCCTCCAGCGGGGAAAGAGCAAGTTCCCTCTTCTCCAGATGGCCTGTCCCAGGGGCGCTTCGCGGTCCGTTGCCGGACTTAGCGGCGTTCTGGGCAGGGGGGCTGCCTGCTTCCGAGGTGCCCGACGCGCTCGCTTCGCCTTAGGCGTGTGCGGGGGCGGAGCAGCTCTCGTAGGCGGGCGCCTTCGGCGAGGAGCAGGTATGAATGGCACGGCGGGCGGAGCGGGCTACGGACCGCCGATAAGACATCACCCACCAACTGCTCTCTCACCGCCTTGAATTCCTGGGTGAATTCACAGACAGTGTCGCCGAACCTGGCTGGGGATATGGGGAAGTCAAGAAAGCGGACTTTGTCGACTTTGCGCATATCAGCCAGGGGTGGCGCTCCTGGACCACTAATGTGGACATCGTCCTCCCCAACGCACACGCAGCGGACTCAGTAGTCCGAAGAGCTAAGTCGGCGGCGGTGCGAAGCTCGTAAGCCTGGGTTGGACCCACC